CTGACGACCCTCGATGTCCCTTCGCTGTCCCCCTCACCCTGACGACCCTCTGCGCCGCGCGGGGCTCGACGCTGTCGCGCAGCAGCTCCTTCACCACGTGCTTCCGCTTGGTGGCGCGGGACATGGCGGGGCTGGGGGGACACGGAGGCGCTCAGGGACCCCGGGGGATGGGGCAGGGGAGGGGCTCGGAGATTCCCAGGACCCCCAAATTCCCCCACCCCGGGACCCCTCCCGGCACCTCCCCCACCCAGCCCCGCGCCCGCTCACCTGCGGCGGCACTTCCGGGTGCGACCGCGGTGACGTCACGTCCGGAAGGGAAAGGGGGCGGGGCATGTCATGGAATTGTTCCACATGGGCGTGGTCTCCGATGAAGCCACGCCCACAGCGATGGCGGGAAATCCAGGGGCATGAATGAACTCGTGGGGGGGCGGGGCCTAAAGGACGGGCGTGATTTGCATACGACCGGACTTAATTATGCAAATGAAGGCGAACGGCGCGCTGGGAGTTGTGGGCGGGGTTATGAAAATGAGGAGAAGACGCGGGATTTTAAATGTGGGAGGGGCCATGCAAATTAGAAGTGTCCAGTAGTATATGGTTATGCAAATGACCCTGCGTTCGTTTTGTGGGCGGGGTTATGCAAATGAAGACCCGGTGGGTGGAGCCGAGTCTGGGCTGGCGGGGACTTTCAAATGAGGTGGGCGTGGCCTGGGGAGGGAGGGTGGGTGCAACCCCCTCCCCACCAGAGATGCTTGAAGAGGGGGGATATTGTGACGTCACCGCCGGATCGATGGGGCCCCGTCTGACGTCATCACCGCCCCGTGTGGTGTCATTTTGGTGTCCGTGACGTCATCTCCATCTTGCCGTGACGTCATCACCCCTCAGAGCGTTTTGGTGGCCCCTCCTCCCTGACCGTGACGTCATTCATCGCGCTGTCTCCCATTGGCCGCTCGGCTAAGCCCCCTCCTCCCGTTCGGTGACGTCACCGCCCCGCGCGGGCTCCCATTGGCGGCGCTGGGAGCGGGCCAAGATGGCGGCGGAGCGCGCGGAGGCGGCGGCAGCGGGGGGGGCTCCCGGGGACCCCCTGAGGGACCCCCTGAGGGACCCCCTGAGGGACCCCCTGAGGGACCCCCTGAGGGACCCCCTGAGGGCCGCCGAGCGCTCCCCCTACGCGGGCTGGGCCCACCCCGAGCTCCAGGCCACGCTGGCCGGGATCGGAGCCCCCGCGCAGGGTGAGGGGCTGGGGGGCGAGGGCTGAGGGGGCTGAGGGGATGGGGGGGCTTGAGGGGTCACAGGGGGCACGTTGAGGGTACCTGAGGGAATGGGGGCTGAAGGGAATGGGGGCGTTGAGGGGTCACAGGGGGCAGGTTTGAGGGTACCTGAGAGGAGTGGTGGGGCTGAGGGGGCTGGGGGGCGTTGAGGGGTCACAGGGGGCAGGTTGGGGGTGCCTGAGGGATTGGGGGCTGAGGGGGCTGGGGGGCAGGTTTGGGGGTACCTGAGGGGACTGAGGGGACTGGGGGTTGAGGGGTCACAGGGGGCAGGTTGGGGGTACCTGAGGTGATTGGGGGCTGGGGTGATTGGGGGGGCAGGTTTAGGGGTACCTGAGGGAGTGGGGGCTGAGGGGGGCTCGAGGGGCAGGTTTAGGGGGTACTGAGAGGATTGGGGGACTGAGGGGAATGGGGGTGTTGAGGGGTCACAGGGGGCAGGTTGGGGGTACCTGAGGTGATTGGGGGCTGGGGGGGGCTGGGGGCAGGTTTAGGGGTACCTGAGGGGAGTGGGGGGGCTGAGGGGCCGGGGGGGCTCGAGGGGCAGGTTTGGGGGAGTACCTGAGAGGAGTGGGGGCTGAGGGGACTGAGGGGGCTGGGGGCGTTGAGGGGTCACAGGGGGCAGGTTGGGGGGTACTGGGGGGCTGAGGGGGCTGAGGGGAATGGGGGGAGTTGAGGGGTCACAGGGGGCAGGTTAGAGGGGTGGCTGGGGGCCAGGGGCCAGGTTGAGGGGGTACCTGAGGGGATTGGGGGGCTGAGGGGCTGGGGGTTTGGGGGCAGGTTTAGGGGTACTTGAAGCAATTGGGGGGCTGAAGAGGGAGGTACTTGGGGAGGGGCCTGAGGGGATTTGGGGGCTGAGGGGTCTGGGGGTTGAGGGGTTACAATGGGCAGGTTGGGGGTACCTGAGGGTATTGGGGGGCATTGAGGGGTCACAGTGGGCAGGTTTGGGGGTACCTGAGGGGACTGGGGGCTGAGGGGACTGGGGGGTCACAGGGGGCAGGTTTGGGGGATACCTGAGGGGACTGGGGGGTCTTGGGGGGTCACAGACGGACTGAGGGGGATGGGGGTTCCTGGGGTCATTTTGGGGGGTTTCTGGGGGCATTATTGGGGTCTTGAGGGGTATTTGGGGGTCACTGAGGGCTGGGGGGATGGGGGGCATTTCTAGGGTTATTTTGGGGGTATTTGGGGGTTTCTGGGGGTGTTATTTCGGTTTTGAGGGGTATTTGGGGGTCACAGGAAGGGTTGGGGTCCCTCAGAGCAGAGAAATTTTATTGGGGGTTAAAACTTAGGGGGATAAAGGGGAGGGGTGGATGTTGAGGGAGGGAGGAGCAGAATTTTGGGGGTCCCTGAACCCTCCCCCTCCCCAGGAACCCGTGAGGAGCTGGTGGAGCGACTCCAGGCCTACACCCTGCAGGTGAGACCCCCCCTCCCCAAAGACCCCCAAAATTGAGGGGACACCCTCCCCCTCAATATCTTCACTTGTCTCCCTCTTTAATCTTTGTGTCCCCTCATTTTTTTGGGGGGGGTTTATATAAATTTTTGGGGGGTCCCACCACTCTATTATTTCAGGGAGGGGTCTCTGTGCCCCCCCAGAGTGGGGGGGGTTGGTGGGACCCCCTAATTTGTGTCCCCCCCCCAGACTGGGATCGTGCTGAGCCGCCCCAACCTGCGCCCCGAGGAGGGGGACAAGGCCCCACCCCACAGGTGGCATTTTGGGGGGTCTGGGGGATTTTGGGGGTGTGGAAGAGGGGGACAATCCCAGGGGTCTCAGGGTTTTTTTTGGGGGGGGAAGGGAGTAAATAAAAGGATAAAATTACCTCAAATTTGGGGGAGGAGGGGAAAAGGGGCACTCTCAGGGTACCTAAATTTGGGGAGGGAGGGAATAAATAAAAGAGTAAAATTACCCCAAATTTGGGGGAGGGGAGGGGAGAAAGGAGCACCCCCAAGATCCCTAAATTTGGGGGGGGAGAGAATAAATAAAAGGGTAAAATTACCCCAAATTTGAGGGAGGGGGGGGGGAAAAGAGCACTCCCAGGATCCCTAAATTTGGGGGGGGGGAAAAATAAATAAAAGGATGAAATTACCCCAAATTTGGGGGAGGGAGAGGGTACCTAAATTTGGGGGGGAGGGAGGATCACCCTTTAGGGTAGCCAAATTTGGGTGGGGAGGGAAAAGGATCATCCTCAGGGCACCTAAATTTTGGGGAAGGGAGGAAAGGAGCACCCCTAAGATACCAAAATTGGGGGATTTGGGGGGAAAGGAACACCCTGAGGGCACCCAAATTTGGGGGGGCAGGGGGAGGTTAAAACACCCTAAAATCACCCAAATTTGGGGGGGAAAGGGGGAAGGAGCATCCCCAAGGTCCCAAAATTTGGGGGTGTGGGGAGAGAAAGGAGCACCCTGAGGGCACCCAAATTTGGGAGGGTGTGGGGGAGTTTAAGACACCTTAAAATCACCCAAATTTGGGTGGGGGGAAAAGGAGCACCTTCAGGGAACCCAGATTTGGGGGAGAGTGAAGACACCCTAAAATCACCCAAATTTGGAGGAGGAAAGAATTTAAAACATTCTCAAACCTCCCAATTTTGGAGTTGGAGGTTGGTTCAGACCCCTCCCCAAAACCCCAATTTTGGGTTGGGGGGGGTTGGTTCAGACCCCCCCTCAATTCCATTTATTTGGGGAGGGGGGGTCAGTGTGTGCTCCGCTCTCACCCCTCCCCCATCCCCCTTTTTTCCCATCCCCCCAGATGCCCCCCTGCAGCACCCCCTGGTGCCCCCTCCCAGGGCTGGGGCTGGGCTTTGGGCTGGGGGGCCCGTGGGAGTCTCGGTGCCCCGCCCCTCCCGGGGCTGTCGGAGGAGGAGCGGCTGTCGCTGGGGCAGCAGCAGGCGGTCCTGCTGCTGCAGGAGGAGAGGGTGAGATTTTGGGGGGTTTGGAGGGGATTTTGGGGGTTCCTGGGGGATTTTTGGGGTCCTGGGGGATTTTGAGGGATTTGTGGGGGGATTTTGGGGGTCCTGGGGTGTTTGAGCTGTCTGGGGGTGGTTAAAGTGCTGCTGCAGGAGGAGAGGGTGAGATTTTGGGGGGGTTAGGGGGTCCTGGGGCGTTTGGGAATCCTGGGGGTTTGGGGAGGATTTTGGGGTCCTGAGGGGTTTTGAGGGGTCTGGGGGTGGTTGAAGTGCTGCTGCAGGAGGAGAGGGTGAGATTTTGGGGGGGTTAGGGGTCCTGGGGAGTCTGGAGGATTTTGGGGGGTTTGGGGGATTTTGGGGGTCCTGGGGTTTGAGGGGTCTGGGAGGGATTAAGGTGCTGCTGCAGGAGGAGAGGTGAGATTTTGGGGGTTTGAGGGGTCCAGGGGGTGTGTCGGTCTGGTGGGGGTTAAAGTGCTGCTGCAGGAGGAGAGGGTGAGATTTTGGGGGGGTTAGGGGTCCTGGGGGGTCTGGAGGGATTTTGGGGGGTCTGGAGGGGATTTTGGGGGTCCTGGGGGTTTGAGGGGGTCCTGGGGGTTTGAGGGAGTCCTGGGGGTTGGGGGTCTGGGGGTGGTTAAAGTGCTGCTGCAGGAGGAGAGGGTGAATTCTGGGGGGATTTAGGGGTCCTGGAGGGGTCTGGAGGGGATTTTGAGGGATTTGTGGGGGATTTTGGGGGTCCTGGGGAGTGTTGGGGGTCTGGGGGTGGTTAAAGTGCTGCTGCAGGAGAAGAGGTGAGATTTTGGGGGGATTAGGGGGTCCTGGGAGGGTCTGGGGTGATTTGGGGGTTTGGGGGTATTTTTGGGGAGTTCTGGGGGGTTGGGTGGATTTTGGGGGTCTTGGGGGGTCTTGGGGGTCTGGGGGTGGTTAAAGTGCTGCTGCAGGAGGAGAGGGTGAGATTTTGGGGGGTTTGAGGGGTCCAGGGGGGTGTTCGGTCTGGTGGGGGTTAAAGTGCTGCTGCAGGAGGAGAGGGTGAGATTTTGGGGGCTTAGGGGGTCCTGGGGGTTTGGAGGGGATTTCAGGGGGTTTGGGGGTATTTTGGGGAGTTCTGGGGGTTGGGTGGATTTTGGGGGTCTTGGGGGTGTTTGAGCTGTCTGGGAGGGGTTAAAGTGCTGCTGCAGGGGAGAGAGGTGAGTTTGGGGGGTTGGGTGGTCTGGAGGGTTAAACTGAGGGGAGGGCGAGAATTTGGGTGCTGGGGGCACCTGAGGGTTGGGGGGATGGGTGGGGGGGTCACAGGGGTCGTGATTGTTCCCCCCTCAGGGCCAGCACCCGTTTGGGGACAAGGCCAAGGAGCAGGAGCTGCTGGAGCAGCAGAAGAGGGTGAGGGGGGGTCCCCTGGGTGTTGGGGGGGCTCCCTTGGCTATTGGGGGGCTCCCCTGGGTGTTGGGGGCTCCCTGGGTGTTGAGGGCTCCCTGGGTTTTGGGGGGCTCCCCTGGGTCTTGGGGGTCTCCCTTGGCTATTGAGGGGCTCCCCTGGGTGTTGGGGGGGCTCCCTTGGCTATTGGGAGGTTCCCCTGGGTGTTGGGGGCTCCTTGGCTGTTGGGGGCTCCCTGGGTGTTGGGGGCTCCTGGGTGGGGAGGGTTCTCTGGTTGGTGGGGGCTCCCTGGGTGTTGAGGGCTCCCTGGGTTTTGGGGGCTCCCTGGGTCTTGGGGTCTCCCTGGCTATTGAGGGGCTCCCTGGGTCTGGGAGGTCTCCCTGGGTCTTGGGGTCTCCTTGGCTGTGGGGGTTCCTCTAGGTGGGGAGCTCCCTGGGTTTGGGGGTTCCCTGAGTTTGGGGGCTGCCCTGGGTTTGAGGGGCTCCCTGGGGTTGGGGGTTCCCTGAATGTTGGGGGTTCCTCTGGGTCTTGGGAGGCTCCTCTGGGTGTTGGGGGCTCCTGGGTTTTGGGGGGCTCCCCTGGGTGGGGGGTTCTCTGGGTGTTGGGGGCTGCTTTGGGTCTTGGGGGACTCCTCAGGGATTGGGGGCTCCTCTGGTTGTTGGGGGGGCTCCTGTGAGTGTTGGGGGGTGTCTCTGGGTGTTGGGGGCTCCCTGGGTGAGGGGGGTTTCTCTGGTTGGTGGGGGGCTCCTTTGGGTGTTGGGGGGGTCTCTCTGGTTGGTGGGGAGCTCTCTGTTGGTGGGGGGCTCCTTTGGGGGTTGTTGGGTGGCTCCCCTGGGTGTTGGGGGCTCCTCTCTGGGTGTTGGGGGGTTCCTCTGGGTCTTGGGGGGGTTCCCTGGGTGTTGGGGGGGCTCCCTGGGTGTTGGGGGCTCCCTGGGTGGGAGGGTTTCTCTGGTTGGTGGGGGCTCCTTTGGCTGTTGGGGGCTCCCTGGGTGGGGGTTCCCTGGGTCTGGGGGTCTCTGGTTGGTGGGGGCTCTCCTCTGGGTGTTGGGGGCTCCCTGGGTCTTGAGGGTCTCCCTTGGCTGTTGGGGGGTTCCTCTAGGTGGGGGAGCTCCCTGGGTTTTGGGGGGCTGCCTGGGTTTTGAGGGCTCCCTGGGGTTGAGGGTTCCCTTGGCTATTGGGGGGTTCCCTGGGTCTTAGAGGCTCCCTTGGCTATTGGGGGGCTCCCTGGGTGAGGGGTTCCTCTGGGTAGTTAGGGAGTGCTCTAGGGTGTCAGGGGGTGCTCAGGGTGTCGGGGGTGCTCAGGGTGTTGGGGGGTGTTAGGGGTGCTCAGGGTGTTGGGGGTGTTTGGGGTGCTCAGGACCCCTACTGCCTTGTCCCCCAGGCCGCGGTGCTGCTGGAGCAGGAGGGCACTCTGGAGTGGGTGGGGGGCACCCCTGGGTCTTGGGGGTGCTCAGGGGAGTTGCTCAGGGTGTTGGGGGTGCTCAGGGTGTTGGGGGTGTTTGGGGGTGCTCAGTGACCCCCCCCTTGTCCCCCCCAGGCCGTGGTGCTGCTGGAGCAGGAGGGGGCACTCTGAGGTGGGTGAGGGGTCCCCTGGGTGTTGGGGGTGTTCAGGCCTGGGGTGTCAGGGGTGCTCAGGGTGTTGGGAGGTGCTCCAGGTGTCGGGGGGTGTTTGGGGTGCTCAGTGACCCCCTTGTCCCCCAGGCCGCGGTGCTGCTGGAGCAGGAGGGGGCACTCTGAGTGGGTGGGGTCTCCTGGGTGAGGAGTCTCCTGGGTGTCAGGGGGTGCTCAGGGTGTCGGGGGGTGTTTGGGGGTGCTCAGTGACCCCCTGACCCCCCTTGTCCCCCCAGGCCGCGGTGCTGCTGGAGCAGGAGCGGCAGCAGGAGCTGGCCAAGCTGACCCCTCCCCCGGCCCCCGAGCCCCCGAGGGGCCCCCTGGGCGCCCGCGCCCCCTGACCCGAGGTGAGGGGACACCCAGGGTGGGGGTGAGGGTGAGGGTGACACCAGGAGTTGGGGTCCTGTCACCCCCAGCCCAGCATGCGTGTGCTCTTGTGTGTCCCCCGTGTCCCTCTTGTGTCCCTCTCGTGTCCCCCACGTCCTTTCCGTGTCCCCCGTGTTCCCCGTGTCACTCTTGTCACCCCATGTCCCTCCTGTGTCCCCCCACGTCATTCTTGTCACTCTTGTCCCTCTCGAGTCCCTCCTGTGTCCCCCCTGTGTTCCCCGTGTCACTCTTGTCACCCCCATGTCCCTCCTGTGTCCCCCCCGTGTCACTCTTGTCCCTCTCAGGTCTCTCCTGTGTCCTCCCGTGTCACTCTTCTCACTCCTCTGTGTCCCCCCGTGTCCTTCCCGTGTCCCCTTCATGTCACTCTTGTCCCCCCCATGTCACTCTTGTCACTCTGGGTCCCTCCTGTGTCCCTCCTGTGTCCCCCGTGTCACTCCTGGGTCCCTCCTGTGTCCCTCTCGTGTCCCCCACGTCCTTTCTGTGTCCCCCTCGTGTTCCCCGTGTCACTCTTGTCACCCCCTTGGCCCTCGTGAGTCTCACCTGTGTCCCCCCACGTCCTCCTTGTCGCTCTTGTCCCCCCCGCGTCATTCACGTGTCCCCCCCGTGTCACTGTTGTCCCTCTCAAGTCCCTCCTGTGTCCCTCCTGTGTCACTCTTGTCACCCTCATGTCCCTCCTGTGTCCCCCCTGTGTCTCCTATGTCACTCTTGTCTCTCTCAAGTGCCTCCTGTGTCCCCCCGTGTCACTCTTGTCCCCCCCATGTCCCTGCTGTGTCCCCCCCGTGTCTCCTATGTCACTCTTGTCCCTCTCAAATCCCTCCTGTGTCCCCCTCGTGTCACTCTTGTCACCCCCATGTCCCTCCTGTGTCCCTCCAGTGTCTCCTGTGTCACTCTTGTCCCTCTCAGGTCCCTCCTGTGTCCCCCCCATGTCTCCTGTGTCACTCTTGTCCCTCTCAGGTCCCTCCTGTGTCCCCCCGTGTCACTCTTGTCCCTCTCGTGTCCCTCCTGTGTCCCCCCCATGTCTCCTGTGTCACTCTTGTCCCTCTCGAGTCCCTCCTGTGTCCCCCCGTGTCCTCTTGTCCCTCTCATGTCCTCCTGTGTCCCTCCCATGTCTCCTGTGTCACTCTTGTCCCTCTCAGGTCCCTCCTGTGTCCCCCCGTGTCACTCTTGTCCCTCTCGAGTCCCTCCTGTGTCCCCCCCATGTCTCCTGTGTCACTCTTGTCCCTCTTGAGTCCCTCCTGTGTCCCCCCCGTGTCACTCTTGTCCCTCTCATGTCCCTCCTGTGTCCCCCCATGTCTCCTATGTCACTCTTGTCCCTCTCAGGTCCCTCCTGTGTCCCCCCCACATCCTTCTTGTCACCCCCATGTCCTTCCTGTGTCCCCCCCACGTCAGTCTTGTCACCCCCATGCCCCTCGTGGGTCTCACCTGTCCCCCCCACATCCTCCGTGTCATTCTTGTCCCTCTTACGTCACTCCTGGGTCCCCCTCGTGTCCCCCCCGTGTCACTCTTGCCACTCCTGGGTCCCCCCCGTGTCACTCTCGTCACCCCCGTGTCCCTCGTGGGTCTCACCTGTCCTCCCCACATCCTCTGTGTCATTCTTGTCCCCCCTACGTCACTCCTGTGTCCCCCCCGTGTCACTCTTGTCACTCCTGGGTCCCCCCCGTGTCCTCTTGTCACCCCCTATGTCCCCCCCTGTCCCTCTTGTCCCTCCTGTGTCCCCCCCGTGTCCCCCCATGTCACTCCTGGGTCCCTCCTGTGTCCTCCCCACGTCATTCTTGTCCCTATCACATCACTCAGGTGTCTCTTCTGTGTCCCCCCCGTGTCCCCCGTGTCACTCTTGTCACCCCACGTCACCCCTTGTCCCCCAGACACCCTTGTCCCCTTCTGTCCCCCGTGTCCCCCCGTGTCCCCTTTGTCCCCCTCATGTCCCCTCCTGTGTCCCTTTATGTCCCCCTGTGTCCCTTTTGTCCCCCTGTGTCCTCCTTGTCCCCCGTGTCCCCCGTGTCCCTTTTGTCCCCCCTGTGTCCCTTTGTCTCCTGACTTGTCCCCCATGTCCCCATGTCACCTTTGTCCCCCTGTGTCCCCTTTGTCCCCTGGCGTGTCCCTGTGGCCCCCATGTCCCTTGTGTCCCCCTGTGTCCCCCATGTCCCCTTTGTCCCCCCGTGTCCCCTTTGTCCCCCTGTGTCCCTTGTGCCCCCCATGTCCCCTTTGTCCCCCCCATGTCCCCTTTGTCCCCCGTGTCCCCCCGTGTCCCCTTTGTCCCCCTGACATGTCCCTTGTGCCCCTATGTCCTTTTGTCCCTTTGTCCCCTCCCGTGTCCCCCGTGTCCCCTTTGTCCTCCTGGCGTGTCCTTGTGTCCCCCTGTGTCCCTTTGTCCCCCCATGTCCCTTTGTCCTCCTCGTGTCCCCCGTGTCCTTTTGCCCCCTGACATGTCTCTTGTGTCCCCCAAGGTGGTCCCATAGGAGCCCCACTGCCCGTGGGCCCCCGGCTCGAGGACCCCCACCGCCGGGGAGGAGGCAGAGAGGTGGGTCTGGGGTCTCCTGTCGATTGGGGGGGTCTCCTATCAGTGGGGGGAGAGTCTATCAATGGGTGGGGGTCTCCTGGCGATGGGGGGATCTCTATCAGTGGGGGGGTCTCTTGTAGATGGGTGGGGGTCTCTAGTCAATGGGGGGAATCTACTCGATGGGTGGGGGTCTTTTAGATGGTGGGGTCTCCAGTCAATGGGGAATCTGTTGATGGGTGGGGTCTCTTGTAGGTGGGAGGGTCTCTTGTAGATGGGAGTCTCCTGTCAATGGGGGGATCTCCAGTCAATGGGGGGGATCTATCGATGGGTGGGGGTCTTTTGTAGATGGGTGGGGTCTCTTGTCGGGGGAATCTATCGATGGGTGGGGGAATCTATCAATGGGTGGGGGTTTCCTGTTGATGGGTGGGGGTCTCTTGTCGATGGGTGGGGGTCTCCAGTCAGTGGAGGGGGATCTATAGATGGGTGGGGTCTCTTGTACATGGGGGGGTCTCCTGTCAATAGGGGTGTGGTCTCTTTCTGTTGGGTGCAGTGGGGTCTTTCTGATGGGTGGGGGTCCCACAGATGGGTAGGGGGTCCCACAGATGGGTGGGGTGCTCCTTGTGATGGGTGGGGGTTTCTTTTGATGGTGGGGGCAGTTTCTGGTGGGTGGGGGTCTCTTTCTGATGGGTGGGGTTTCTTTCTGATGGGTGGGGGTCCCACAGATGGGTGGGGGTCTTTTCTAATGAATGGGTTGGGGGTCTCCTGAGCTCCAGGGTTGTTGGGGTCCCCTTGAGCTCTTGGGGGTCCCCTGAGCTCCTGGGGTCCCCTGACCCCCTGCCCAGGCCGGGGAGTCCAGGGTGGGCCCCAAAATCCCTCAGGCCCTGGAAAGATCCTGCAGCTGAAGGAGTCGGCAGGAGGAGCTGGTCACGGTCCCGGGGGTCTCAGGTGGGACCCCACACCCAGGAGCACCCCAGAGCCCCCAGAGCCCAGGGGGACCCCAGAGCCCCCATGCCCAGGGGGACCCCCAGGACCAGGGGCACCCCAGAGCCCCCAGACCCAGGGGACCCCAGAGCCCTCCCAGAACCCAGGGGACCCCAGAACCCCCAGACCCAGGAGGGGACCCCCACACCCAGGAGCACCCCAAAGCCCCCACACCCGGGGCACCCCAGAGCCCCCTAGACCCAGGAGGGACCCCAGGACCCAGAGGGACACCCAGAACCCCCCAGACCCAGGGGCACCCCAGAACCCAGGGGGTACCCCTCAGGACCCCCACCCAGGGGAACCCCAGAGCCCCCACACCCAGGGGGCACCCCAGAGCCCCCACACCCAGGGGCACCCCAGAGCAGGAGGACCCCAGAGCCCCAGAACCCGGGAGGGACCCCAGAATCCCCCAGACCCAGGAGGCACCCCAGAGCCCAAACCCAGGAGGACCCCAGAGCCCCCAGGACCCAGGGGGACTCCAGAACCCCCAGACCCAGGGGCACCCCAGAACCCCGGGTGCCCCATGACCACCCATACCCAGGGCACCCCAGACCTCCCAGACCCAGGGGCACCCCAGAGCCCCCAGACCCAGGGGCACCCCAGACCCCCGCCAGACCCAGGGGGACCCTCAGACCCCCTTGCCCCAGGGGTGCCCCAGACTCCAAGGGTGCCCTCAGGACCCCCACCCAGGGGACCCCAGCACCCTGGGTGCCCCCACCCATCCAAAATCCACCCCCCACCTTTAAAACACCTCAAATCCCCTAAAATGGAGGGGTTGTCACGTGTGGGTGCTCTCAGGTGACACCCCAAGGGTGGGGGGGACAGTCAGGTGACCCCAGGGACACCCCAAGGTGCCACTGCCCCCTTTTCCCCAGCACCCCTGGGTGCTGCCCCCTGCCCCCTCATCCAGGATCTGCCTCCAAAACACCCCAAAATCCTAAAAAAAACCCAAAAAACCGCCAAAATTTGTCCCCTGTTGGTGGGAGGCAGCACCAAGGGTGGGGCGTCCCCTTGACCTCTGACCCCCCTTTGTGTCCCCCCTCCCCAGGGGACGAGGAGATGGAGCCGGGCTGAGGGCGTCGGCCTCGGAGGCCGAGGAGGACACGGGGGGCTCCAAGAAGGAGGTGACAACTTTGTGGGGGGAGGAGGGACTTTGGGACCCCGCCCACCCAGTGGCACCTGAGGGGAGGGGAAGGGGGGTGGGGGGAGTCCTTGGGGTCCAGAAATCACTGGGGGTGCCCTGTGGGAGTGGGGGGGATTTTGGGTGGAGGTGAGGGGGGAATGGGGGGGTCCTGGAGCACCCTGGGGTCACTTTTGTGTCACTCTTTGTCACCCTAGGGGGGCTAGACCCTTTAGGGGGGGTCCTGGAGCACCCTGGGGTCACCTTTGTGTCACCCTGGGGGGGCTGGACCCCTCAGGGGGGTCGTGGAACACCCTGGGGT